CATACTTTCATAACATTATATCTGTTATGTTGTTTGCATAAAGAGAATTTGTTTGCGATATGTAAAGAATTTAACTTCTTTTCAAAAATATTAACAACTAAGAAATGTTTTAATCAATCATATTACCTCTTATTTTAAGATTGAATCATTCAAATTTGTATGTGGTTATTCATACATGAATACTTGGTTGTGAATATGTATTCATAACATCATTCCATTTAATATCAATTTCCCTAAATTTTTCTTAAATATTAATGTACATGTCTACAAAAATAACATATACTTTAAAACTTAAACTTGCATTATGTACTTTCTTGAAGAGCTAACTCCTCAGATCCTTCACCTCGTACTCTTCTTCGTTTTTAAGTTACTTATAATTCATCTCTCTAATTCTATAAATACCACAATATATTACTCAAAATAAATTGTGTAAAATCAATTTATATTAATATAATCATTTACCTCGTAACCTATGATGCACCGACACACCTCTTGAAGAGAAAATGCAGTGTCGGACAAGTATCAGACACAGACACATGCCCGACACGGCTCAGACAAATGTCAGACACGATAGACATGTGTCCGATTAAAATAATGTTTAAATTTAACCCGATACGGCTGGGATATGTTTCGGACATGGCTGGGACATGCGTGTCCTAATTTTTTATACAACAACAACATCAAGCCTTTATCCCACTACGTAGAGTCGACTGCATGAATCATTTTTCTCCATTGTGTCATGTTAAAAGTCAAATTTTCGTTTAAATATAATAAAGAAATATTATTTATAATATTTTCTAACCAAGACTTCTTAGGTTTACCTCTACCTTTTTTTAACAGAAGTCAAATTTAATACCTCTACTTTCCTAACCGGGTCATTGGAAGACCGCCATTTTATGTGACCAAACTAAGGCGACTCTCTCTAATCTTATCTTTCATTGGAGCTACTCCAACCTTTTCACGTATATGCTTATTTCGTATCATATCTCTAAGGGTAAAGTCACTCGTCCACGTGAGCATCCTAATATCTACAACACTTAACTTAGTATTATGCTTCTCTTTTAATGGCCAATTTTCAGCACCATAAAACATTGCAAGTCTCACCACCATCTATAGAATTTTCCCTTAAGTTTGAGGGGGACTTTTCTATCACACAATAAGTCCGATACATTCCTCTACTTTAGCCATCCAACTTGAATTCTACTGATAATGTCCTCATTTATTTCACCATCATTCTGAACAATAGATCCAAGATATCTAAAACTTGTACTCTTATTAATGATTGATCGTCCATAGTCACAATCCCCTCACTAGGTCTATAACTACTAAAATTACACTTCATATATTCAGTTTTAGATCTACTCAAGAAAAAATCTTTAGACTCTAAGGTTGACCTCCATAATTCAAGTTTACCTTCAACTCCCTCTCTAGTCTTATCAACAAGAAGAATATCATCAGCAAAAAAGCATACACCAAGGTACATCCTCTTGCAAATGTTTAGTGAGAACATCCATGACTAAAGCAAAAAGATATGGGATTAAGTCCGATCCTTGATGTAATCCAACCGAAATAGGAAAATACTTGGTCAAACCACCTTGTGTTTGAACACAAGTAATAGCTTTATGCATACATATCTTTAATGATTTGAATATAAGCATTATTAATTCCTTTTTTTTCAAGAACTCTTCATAGCACTTCTCTTTGAACTTTATCATATGCTTTCTCTAAATCAATAAATATCATATGTAGATCCTCCTTATATTTTCTCTATATTTCTCCATCAAACCTCTTAATAAATGTATGTCTTCCATAGTAGACTTAACCGACATAAATCCAAATTGATTTTGAGAAACATTAGTATCACGCTGCAACCTACGCTCCATAACTCGCTCCCATAGTTTTAAAGTATGACACATTAACTTAATTCCTCTATAATTCGCACAATCTTGTGTATCACATTTATTCTTAAAATTAGAAATTAACACACTCATTCTCCACTCATTTGACATATTTTTAGTCTTTGAAACAATATTAAAAAGTTTGGTAAGCCAAGAAATTCATTCTATCTCCTAAGCATTTCCACACCTCTATTGGAATATCATCAGGTCCAACAACTTTTCCACACTTCATTTTCTTTAAAACCTCTCTAACTTCGATTTTATTAATACGGCTATAAAAACATAAATCTTATGAAAGAGATACAAATTTAGTAGCTTAACTTTCTATCAAGAGTTCTTGTTATTGAAGATTATGTAGAAGGAAACATATCTTATTGATAATGTTCTAGCAAAACTTTTTTGTTACATTTCCTTCTTCATTTTCCCAAGAACTGCTCTCGGTTCTTCCTTCACACTGCCTTGATACTCCATATTCTCCCACCACAAGGAGACATCGCCTTTTAATTTTATGGCCATCAATTTGACAATGCGATCAAGAGGTGCCTCTTTGTATTCAAGAATTCGCTCAACGATATGTAACCAATTGAGGAATTCATCGAGATCTAATCGACCCTTAAAGTCCGAAATATCTATCTTGATTCTAAAATCTGGAGAGTCTTACACCAATAATAACGAAGGGGAAGTTCATCCTTTTTGCTAGAAGTTTTTTGGTTAAATGGATTTTCCTCCTCTTCTAGACGTTCTTCCTCATTTCGACTCAATCGGATGATAGGTCATCGCCGCAAGCAGTTCTTGTTTTTGGTGAATCTCCCATTGCAATTCTTTAATTGAAGGTTCTTGAATTGGTCTCTCTCTCTCTCTCTCTCTCCCCCCCCCCACACACCCCCCACACATACACACACACACATTTATAATCACTTGGTTCTTGGATATTCTAATCATATAGATGATTTCAACATAGATTGAGGGATTAAAACCTCAATCTTGGTATAGGCTGACCTGAACAAATTAATTTGAAATCTGTTTTGCTTGATGGGGCTTATTTGCACTGACTTGATTCAATTTGGACTGAGAATGTTCAATTCAACTTAAGTTGACTGATTTAGGTGAATTGAATGAGTATATTCAATTAAATTGAGTTAATTGGCTCGATTAAATCAAATTCGACCAATTTAGTTGAATTTGACTCGATTTGGCTTAGATTAATAAAATTAAGGTCACCTCAAATAAATTAGATCTATTAAATTAATCGATTAGAGCTATTTTAGTCCAAAATTGATTCCAATTTGAATTAGTTAGTTAAAATTGATTAAATTGAATCTCCTCGGGTCAAAAGTTGAGTTGAGATTTGATTTTATTTTAAATTAAGCCGTCTCGATTGAAAAATTGAGTCAACAAATCAATGTTACTTCCTTATAATCTTGTTTAAAAGAAAAAAAAAGGTCAAAAGTCTGTAGGAATGCTCATCAATGCCTGAGCTTCAAGCGGATAGGTAAGCATATAAGGTCACCCATTCAAAAGCTCCTTGAAGAAACTCATAATGAGTGATCCATGAGGGCATCAAATGTTGGAATTATCATCATTAATAGTCCCTAACAAGGCTCATCAACACTTGGCATTAGTAGGGTTGGTAAGCAAATAATAGATCAGTGTATTTAGAAGACCTCAGAGGGCTTATTGATGAGTGAGCCCAAGGGCATCTACCTATGACGCACTGACATTTTATTATAAATAATATGCAGTGTCTAACACATTTAGGACATGAAATACTTACATGTCTCTAACACATTTATACATCATGTGCGAGTCTTATTAAAATGAAAAAAATATAAATATTGAATACATGTGTTTAATATATTTTTCAATGGCTAAATTTAAATACTTAAAATACCTAGCTGGCCATGCTCTAATTTTATTACCTTCAACAACTTCCCTTTGGTGGAAGTACCCACATTTGGCTCTCAAACCCCACATGTAGGCCCAAACTCCCCTATTGCCTTTTGATTTTTTTGGGGTTAATTGTCTTTTTAATCTTTCATTCTCCGTGAAAATGTTTATGAAACATAAAAAAAAAAATTTTTAGTCATTAAATATTATGATTTTTTAACATCCTTATAATATTATAATTTTACAACACATTTTTTATTTCAATTTATATAACTACTATACAATATTTTTTATTTTAAAAATATATACATTATAATATTTTGTTAAAAATGTGTTTGTATCTTATATTTTCAATAATAAACATTTCCAATATCTAGGTTGTGCTGCATCTGTATCCCTATTCCCTATATTTGTATTGATGTATCAAAGGTATCTACTAATATTGAGTAGGATGCTCACTTAAAATTCCCAGGAGGGCTTATCATTGCATGAGCATTAGGAGTGTAGGTGAGCAAATAGGGCAAGAGATGGCTATCTAAATCCATTGGTTACACATAAAGTACCCAATTCTCCTTTGACTGTATAGATACTGAACTTCAGCAAGCACAAGAAAAACAAAACGATTAGATCATTCCCCTCCACCTAAGGGGTTGCAGGGTAGGTAATGTCTTTTATAGAAGCTAAGAAGTAATAGTTTTGTTGCATGAACGGAAAACCTCACCTATTTCTCTTGTTGCAACAATTTGAGCCACCCCATCATTCTTTAAAGAGTGTTATATTGAGTCATCCTTTCCTTCAAACATGCTTGCAGACTTGAATTCCATAATGTCTTCCCAAGAAAACATTCCTCAGGACAAATCTTTTCTTTTGCTATGTGTGCAAGGAGTGAGTGATCACTCCTAACAACATACCCTAAAGAGCTATATCGACTTAAGATTATTTCTATATAATGTTTCTAAAAGAGTGTTTATGGGGATTCATAATTGGAAAAGGTAGTGCCAATTCCTTTCATGTTTAAGAATCCCATTTATTTATTTTAGTTCTATTTGAGTGTTTACATATTTTATGTTGTATTTTTTTTGGCTTTGGATTGGTATACATGAGATACATATTGATACATATTGGATATTATTTCCTTGGAGAGTACTTGTGTGGGTATTCAGTTTTGGGCTAGTTGCTAAAAGGTAACAAGGTTGCCTCAGATAATTGGTTTATTTATACCCATGCTTTTTCCAGGAACCTCTTAGGAGCCTACTTGCCGTACCAAGGTCTCATCTTGCACAAAGCTGCCTGAATGAGAGGCTTAATTTTGCCTGCAGCTCCTTCAGTACTCAGGCGGCAAGCACAGGCAGCACTCCACCGCCACCTCCACCTCCACCTCCACCTCCAGAAAAGACCCACTTTGGTGGACTTAAAGACGAGGATCGCATATTCACCAATCTGTATGGCTTGCATGACCCTTTCCTCAAAGGTGCCATGAAGCGAGGTGACTGGTACCGGACAAAGGACTTGGTACTGAAAGGATCTGACTGGATTGTAAATGAAATGAAGAAGTCTGGTCTACGGGGTCGCGGAGGAGCTGGCTTTCCTTCTGGTCTGAAGTGGTCTTTCATGCCAAAGGTATCTGATGGCCGTCCTTCCTATCTTGTCGTCAATGCCGATGAGAGTGAACCAGGAACTTGCAAGGACAGGGAAATCATGCGTCATGACCCACACAAACTTATCGAGGGGTGCTTGATTGCAGGAGTTGGCATGAGGGCTACAGCAGCTTACATCTACATAAGGGGAGAGTATGTGAATGAGCGCTTGAACCTTGAAAAAGCTCGAAAAGAGGCCTACCAGGCTGGGTTATTGGGTAAAAATGCTTGTGGTTCAGGCTACGATTTTGATGTGCACATTCACTTTGGTGCAGGTGCTTACATTTGTGGTGAAGAAACTGCTCTATTGGAAAGCCTTGAAGGGAAACAGGGTAAGCCAAGACTGAAACCTCCTTTTCCAGCGAATGCTGGATTGTATGGTTGCCCCACTACTGTCACAAATGTAGAGACAGTCGCAGTATCTCCCACCATACTTAGACGAGGACCTGAATGGTTTGCAAGCTTCGGTCGGAAGAACAATTCTGGTACTAAGCTTTACTGCATTTCTGGCCATGTCAATAAACCTTGCACTGTGGAAGAGGAGATGAGCATACCATTAAAAGAACTCATAGAGAGGCACTGTGGTGGCGTCAGAGGAGGATGGGACAATTTGCTAGCTATTATACCTGGTGGATCTTCTGTCCCTCTGTTACCAAAACACATCTGTGATGATGTACTGATGGATTATGATGCACTGAAGGCTGTTCAATCTGGATTAGGAACAGCTGCTGTTATGGTGATGGATAAGTCCACAGATGTGGTGGATGCCATTGCAAGGCTATCATATTTCTACAAGCATGAGAGCTGTGGTCAATGTACTCCTTGCAGGGAGGGAACTGGATGGCTGTGGATGATCATGGAAAGATTGAAGGTTGGTAATGCGAAGATCGAAGAGATCGATATGCTTCAGGAAGTATCAAAGCAGATTGAAGGGCATACCATCTGTGCATTGGGTGATGCGGCGGCATGGCCTGTTCAAGGGCTCATCAGGCACTTCAGGCCTGAACTGGAAAGGCGGATACGCGACCGGGCGGCGAGGGAGCTGTTGGAAGCTGCTGCTGCTTAAGCTGCTCATGGTGTTAGATTTCTGAAGTTCACATCTGTTCAATAATGAAATGCCTTTTACTTTGAATTTTTTAAGGGGTTCCCTGCCTACATGAACTTATTCCAGGTAATTACATGAGATGAAAGAAATGACAGCTTATCTTATTGTATGATTTGAACTGAACAGCTCTGTTTTAGCATGAATGGTAATGCTATCACCTCATTATTTATTGAAGCTGAGATCTATGGTGATAAAGATGGTGATTTATTGGGATTTTGTAAGGCATATGTGCTAGCCTTAAGGTATTTTTAATTGGAATAAGTAATAGGAGTAATTCTTAAGATTTGTTTTCTGAAACCCTCAACTTTCTGTTGATAATACTTCGTAGTTCATTCGGCAAGTTATTACGTGGGGATGCTGCTCGATATCACATTCAGTATCGTGCTCGGTATTGTTGATATGACGTATTCTGATTGGTCTCTAGACAATAAACTGTATTCGGCATCACAGAATAATTTCTCAGTTCATCAATTCATTGTAATTAAGGCTTGAGATCTCTAAGTTCTACGCACCATTCTATTAAAAATTAGTCTATGAACACTCTCTTCCATAAAAATGGAAAGAAGCCCAACGGGTTCTATCAGTCCAAAAAGGTATTCATTTGTAAGTTTAAACAGGTATCTCAAAGCATATCTAGATTAAAGGTGCACAGTCTCTAATCTCACTAAAATATTTTAAGTTAAATAATATAATTTTAATTCATTCAACAAAATTTCTGACAAAACTTTATTTTAATCTAATGTTAATAAGAATTTACGTATTAAATGTAATTTAATGATAACTAATTATTATTAAAAATTAAACTATGATAACTAATTATTATTTAAGTGATAAGTACATATTAGTACATACACTTAATTATTAAAAAATAAACCGCAAAAATAATTTAAAACAATAAAATTCTCTCCAAAGATTTTTTTTCCAAAGAAAAAAATCCAAAATAATTTGAATCTTTTCCAAAAAACTACTTCCACTACCTCTGTTATTTTGTAAAATAATTTTTTTTTTAAAAAAAAAAAAACAGCCCTCAACGCCCCATCGCTAGGAAAATTATTACGTGTGGGTTTGGATTCGCCCGAAAACTAAAAAAAATGCGGCATGTCACCTCCAAAAATATACCGTGCTCGATACCGAGCACGGAACTAGACGGTTCTCCCGTACGTCCGGTGTTCGCACACAATAATCTCCCCAGTGACTAAGACCTTGTGTGTTTCGGCTTAAGTACGCCGATTCCGATTAGTATGGGAGAAAACAGTTACTATTTTTCTGCAATGCAGTTTTCTTAAACATGTAATTGTTTGTTCAAATCTTTGTGACGAAGTAGAAGCGGTCACGCATCAATTTGATGGATCGTCGAATTTCTTGATTGATTCTTCCTGCTATATGAGTATTGATATTTACATGATCTATTTCTCAAAGCTTAACCAGTTAACAGTGGCCATTATCATTATCTAAACCTTATAAAGGATTTTTTTCAATAAAAAAATTTCTTACTATTTGTTTTCCCGTTAAACTGTACATGCATGTCATTCCATTGTTAAAGGTTTAAATTTTGGTTGGCATAATTATTTTTATTAATCAAATAAAAAAATTACTTAAATTTAATTCATTTACGCAATAGCTCCTAATTCATATCTTAAAAAATCAAATGTAAGAAATTTCTGTTCTGCCAAAAATTTTATGTATATTTTCATTTATGTAAGTAATAAAAAAATTAAGTATATTTAAATTTACTATGTAGGTTATTTTGTCATTTATGATGAAAAAATTGAAATTATTGATTGTATCAAACACTTATTATCTACAGGGAAGTAGGTCCCTTAGCTAGGTATAATCACATGCATAGGACTAAGTTCATATCTAATAAGCTCACAAGTCGAGCATATTTGACCTCTAAGGTTCGTCAGGCTAGGTTTGATCCATAAAAATTAAACAATTTTGACCTCTTAATTTTATCAAATTGACGTCGGTGTTGAGCCGTTAATTGTATTAATTTCAGGATAGTTTGATCTATTTGGTAGTTTATATGGCTATATATGAATATTGCTTTCTTTTATTGAGTATAGCATTTTATGCTTCGATATTTGTCTATATATACTTGTAGATCATGCTTGTAAGAAGGAGATTTGGAGATTAATAAAATTAGAGTTTTACTCTCTTGTGAATTCCTGTATCCTAAGATTTGTTCTTACGTAGTGGGTTATTGCTCCAAGGAGTTCTTGGAGTGGTGTCCGGCGACCACCACCGGATCATCGACGTGAATTAGTCGAGCCCCGTTCCAATGTGATGTTAAATTTTTCAAAAATCAAAACTAAACTCTTAGTTTTGGTATAATATATCAACGCATACATCCTATTACAAATTCTCATTATAGTAGATTCATCAAGTGACACATGCTTCCTATAAATGAGTTTTTAGTAAAAACACAATTAAAAAAAAAAAAAAAAGGAACATTCATATGATCATACAATATGCATGTCCTTTAATGAACTTATTTGCCTGCATATTTGTATCATTGTCCTAAACATATAATGAAATCATGCAGTGACGACAATGGGGCTGCTCACCACCCGTTTGCCGGACACCCAATTGAGCCTGCCTTCCAACACATCATTCTTCTTTAACTGGCCCTTCCCCGTCAAACTCAACTCCACCGTGAAGTTTTTCTCCTCGCCAACGTTCGAAAACTGGAGCGTCTCCGGGATAACCACCACCTTCACCCCTCTCGGCTCCACCACACTTGCTTGGTAGTTGGATCTCGCCTCCCCAACATTCTTCACCGTTCGCTGCACACTCTTCTTTTGCGCTCCAGCCGACCCCATTGACACCTGAATCGATGGGTAGTTCAACTGCTCTGCACCCATCTTTTTCGGACTGCAAGTCACAAACTTCTTCACAATAAGGAAGACCCGCCCGCTTGTGTAATCTTTCAAGCCACAGAGGTAAGGAATATAGTCATCTGTGTTTGTGACATCATAAACAAGTCCTGGATCATTAGCCGCGGTTGGGTTTATGTGCCCCGCACCAACCGCAAAGATGTCAGCGTGATCGCGTGTGTTTGATGCATCATCGATAATTGGCCCTCCGTCGCGGTCTAGGATATAAGTTGTAGTCATGATCGCTGACTTGATTGCTGCAGGGGACCAATCAGGGTGTAACTCTTTCAACAGAGCTGCGACACCAGATACATGCGGTGCCGCCATGGAGGTGCCTCTCTCCATGACAAAGTTTTTCGTTCCTTTGGATACATCGTGAGCCCCACCCTTCCCTACCTTGAAGGGCCACGCTGAAAGTATGTTCACTCCGGGTGCGATGACATCAGGCTTCAAAATGCCACCGTTTAGTATACTCGGCCCCCTCGAGGAGAAGCTGGCAACGGTCGGCGATGGCCGGATTCCATATTCGGTACCCTTAAACGTTATCGTCCCAGTGGGATTTTGGGTGGTATTGAAATAATTCACGATTTTAATGCCGTCATTGTGGGAGACGTGGATGGCGGGAATAACATAAGGATCTGCAAGTAGAGTATACGCATTCCATTTCTGGTTCATGACGACAATGGCAGCACCTCCAGCAGCCTTCACGATCTTGGCCTTCTCAATATTATTATTACGCTCGAACCCGCACAGCACCATTTTCCCAACCACATCAAAGCCAGCCATCGATCCTTTCTCGCACGCCAACGTCTGGTCGGTGTCTTTCACTCCAGGATAAACAAGCGGGAGGTTCACCGCCGTCGAAGGGTCCGGCTGGTAAGCCGACATGCCCACGAACTCCATGCCATTGTCGAGCGTCAGCACTGCGGTGACACGACGGTCTATGTTAGCGGCGCCCACGTGGAGGATCCAGGGAACGTCGTTGTCGAGGATGCTTTTTGCCGGGCCATGATTGCCGGCGCAGTTGATTGTCAGGATGCCACGTGTCAGCGCTGCGAAGGATCCCTTGACGATGCCATTGTGGTAATAATCATCATTCGCGAAGCCAATGGATATCTGGATCAAGTCGACGCCGTCCTTGATGGCCTGGTCGAAGCCCTTGAGAATGTCGCTGTCACTACAGGAGAATGGCGGGACGCAGACCCTATAGGAGGCTATGTGGGCCCTTGGAGCCATCCCGGAGGCGGTGCCGCGGGCTTGGCCAAGGACGTTGGCGTCTGGGACGGGCGAGCCAGCGGCGATGCCCGCGACGTGGGTACCATGGCCGAGGTCATCGATGGGGGTATTCGTGCCTCCGTTGAGAAAGACCTCGGCGCCGATGAGTTTGTTGGTGCAGGAGAAGCCGGCGGGGAGGTTGCAACTGCCGCGCCACTTGAGGGGAGGGGAAGGCAGGCCGGGGTCAGCGAAGGACGGGTGGTCGGGAGTGATGCCGGTGTCGAGGACGCCGATGATAATGCCTTCGCCTTGGTTGGATTGTTTCCAGAGGCTGTAGTATTGGTTGAGGCCGAGGAGGGTGGGTGTGTGAGTGGTGCGTAGGTGGAGCTGTTTGTCGATGTGGGCGTAAAGGAAGCCGGGGATGGACTCCATGAACCTGACTTCGTCTGGAGTGAGGCGGGCGGCAAAACCGGACATGACGACGGAATACGTGTAGACCATGCGGGGTTCGCCGGAGTCGAGGGTGGTGTTGGGGAGGAAAGAATGGTACCAGCTTTCACGGTCGATGTGGGGGAGGAGCTCAGCGGGGCCATTCGGGTGCTGGACGTGGACGATGTAGACTTGGGTTTGGTTCGTGGAGATTATGGAGAACAGGGGAAGCGACAGGGTCGTATGTGTTTGCTGCAGAAAGCAGAGGAGGAAAATGGGAAGAATAATATTGTAAGTGCTTCTCGCCATTCCGGAGCTTAATTGGTGAGGATTACAACCCTAAGGGAGTGCATAAAATAGATTGAAGAAGGGTGCATGATTGGACTGCAGCTCTAGGGATCCTAGATTAACAAGAAAGCAACGGAGATGCTTCGTCGCCCAGGAGACATCGTGATGCTGGAAGAAGATCCAATGAACCGATTCTTATGAAAGGAAAATTATTAGGTCCGGATCAAAGCCCTACACGAGGAGAAATTTTTCTGTGCGGAATCGATTACAGAGCTGTAGTCGGATGCTCAACTGAAAAGTTAAAAATCCGTGATATTTATTTGACTTGCATATTGATTGAGTATTTATTGTGTATTCGTTACGTAAAATGTGTTTATTGATTGAGTATTTTATTACGTATTTGTTGCGTATTTATTGAATATTTGTTGCATATAAGTTGCACATTTTCTGCTTAATTACTGTTTATTTGTTGAGAATTTCTTTTCGTCTGCAGTAAGTCCGAAAAGACAAACGGGTTTGGTAAGAAATCAAATGAATATCCTAGCTTTCCACGTAAGCATGCCATGTGTAATGATTTTACTGGCATCTGAACACAACTCTATAACCGGATTCCGCACTGAATAAATTCTCCTACATGAGGGCATGGTTTGGTACCCATTGGATACCCATATTTTACTCGGACGGGCTTCGCCCACCCACACCCACCCATGGTGACTTTCGAGATGTCATACCCACCCACTTTCTATGATTTTTGAACACAATCTATCTTGGACTGAAGGCCTTAAGGCTTATTTCTCTATGTCATACAAACTTTCAAGCTGCATATTAGAATTTATCGTAGTCACAGAATGGTTAAGTAATGCACATTACGTGGTGAGGATTGCAATAATATAAGATATACGATGATTAGCAATGTAAATTAATTTATCCCCCAATGTTGAGTACCCACCCATACCCACCCACAAGGCCATGGGCGTACCCACACCCACCCATACCATTGGGTATGGGTGGATATATGGGTGGGTGTGGGTATGGGTATCCAATACAGGGCTCTGGTTCGGATATCCAATTAAAATTTACCATGTGGACTGCGCTTTCATTATGCTTTGACTGTACTTTTTTACTGCACTTTACCTGTGCTTTACCTACGTTTTTGGCACGCTTAACTTAAAATTCCACGGACACTTCTACATTCCACTTTTCAATATTTTATTGAACATCAGATGTATCTCTACGTCCGGTTTCTTGACCTAATAATTTTCCCTTACTAAAAAGAGAGGTAGCAAGCTACCTAGTTGAGCCATTTATTGTTGGTTCTCGTCATTTTTTAAATGATTTTTTTTTTACAAAAAGTGCCATGGTGAATGGTGATTGTATAAACAATAAGTAAGACGGCTTAGCGGTAAGGATCGTCCTTATTATCATTTTCACCATATTCATAGTTATTAGGGTATCTAACAAAGGGAAAATTATTGCATCCGGTCACCTGACAGAGAGATCCGTTCGAATCTCTCTCTGTCTACAGTAAAAGCGCAGGTGTTGTAGCATACCTGTGCTTTACATGCGCTTTACTGTAGACAGAGAGAGATCCGAACGGATCTCTCTATCAGGTGACTGGATGCAATAATTTGCCCTAACAAAGGCAGTTCCATTCATAATATTAATTAACTCTAAAGACATTGATAATTATAATTTATTATTTGAAAAGTAATTACTTAAGAATGAAAATTAAAATGATAGAAATAATCCAAAATAGTCTTGATGCATATCTTGTAATAGCTGACCATATTTTTCAATAAAATAGAAATTTAACTGCATGCTGATTCTGAGAGAAAATCCCAATGAAAAGCCAAATAAAATAGTAAAACAAGAAAAACAAAGGATTTTATTATTACTATCCTTTATATGCAGATCCTTCATAATATTTCTAACTTCTTAGAATTTTTTCCCAGTTTTCCATTAATGATCCTGAAGAAAAGCCGTGCTAAATCACGAAAGCGAAAGTAGCTCAAGCATAAGCTCGTTTACTTATGTTTTCTCATATGAATCTCTTGTCTCCAGCTATTGGCCGTTTCCGTACCAACTCAAGATATGCTTATTGGACTCTATGTATTAACGATCGGGAATCCCCGAGGTCTTTGTGCAAATAGGTATAATCAATAGAATTCTAATTGCAGAAACTAGAAAAGAAAACAATTTACAAGAATGACTTTCAGTATACAAAAGAGCCGTATTAGTGACGACAGCACACCCGATTGTTGGGTGGTACAAACCAATGATATTAAACGGAAGAACTCCTTTAAAGGTATAATATAAATATTTCCTGAGGAAAATCGAGTTCTAATATAATCATCCATAATAAAAGTATAGATATTTTTTACTATCAACTTGCCATCATCAGATCTCTCTAAATCAATATCTTCCTCCATACAATTTTAAGTATTGTAATCCATGAATACAACTCAACAAGTGAACTAAAACGGGTAATCCGGCCATTATCCAACCATCAAAGTGGATTACATTTAATTGGACAATAGTTCCAACCAAAATCAGGAAGATGCACTGTAACCTTCAATCCAAGCATCTTCACAAAAAAAGTTTCTAAGTCAAATCTGACCAAAAATCAATTTAGGTCGGAAGTGAAACAGTATGGTGAAGTAATCGAAAACGAAACGCCTGCATGTAGTAGTTTTTGAAACGTTGTGGCAGGGATGAAGTCAGTCGGAAGCAAAATGCTTGGCTGTGGTAGTTTTCGAAAGTTGTGGCAGGGATGAAGTCGATCGGAAGCGAAACGCCTATGTTTGGTAGCTTTCGAAACGTTGTGGCGGGGATGAAGTAACGCGCGGCTGGCAGAAGGCATTAGGCTAGGATTTATGTACCTGTGCGGTAATGTGAAAAGGAATGGTTCGGTTGTGAAATTAAAAGCATGCCCGGTTCGGATTTTTATATGAATCGAAAAACTAAGATATGAATAGTTCTAAATGAAGGAATTAAGAATATGAATAGGTCCAAATGAAGGCTGTAGATTTATTTGAACTTAGTAAATGGACGACCAGGATCTGCTATGGGTGGAATCCCAAGCCACATTTATATAGCAGTATAGATTTTAAAATTTTAATAAACACATAAAAAATAATTTAACAAAACAATATTATGTAATACCTCCATCATATAGAACATTGTTTCTAATACTGCATTTTCTCCAAGAACATTGACCAACCAAACCAGCCCTGGAAAAAGGTAAAAAAAGCCACTTTCTACCTCTAACACCTCACTTCAGAAATGAAGAAGGCGATTTTACCCCCAGCATTTTCACAAATCCAAGGCACGAGCGACCTTCTCAAGCGCGCAATTCATCTTCTTCTTCGTGAAGCTGAAGCTGAAGCTGCCCATTGGAAAACAACAAAATAATTCAAATTAGTCCTCTCTATGCTCGTTTCACTTTCAACTTCTTTGCAGCAGATTTCTTGACCTTAGCACCAGAAGCATCCTTCTTCTTCTTCACCTAGGCAGCAGAAGCATAATTCTTCGCAAGTTCATGGCGGATGCCACGATGGTCTGTGTAAATCGTTTCCTATAAGAGGGTAGTTTTGTCTTTTATGATGAGAACAGTAGATCTTAAGGTTTGCGTAAGCATTCAAAAAAGGGATATCTAACCAATTAAACAAGTATCAGTTACGTAAATAAATTTTTTTAGAACTCCGTTTCTTGGATAACTGCTCCTTTACCTCATGCAAAAGAAGTGCAGGAACCAAACGAGCCCTAAGGCTGTTTTAAAATTTTTATTATGAGATGGTGTTATGCCTATAATAACGATTATTAAGAGGCTTGCTTATAAAATTTGTCCGATTTATAAATATTCCGATGATTTTTAATAAAGAAAAATATCAAAATGGTCCATCAACTCTTTGTGACTAATCAAAATGATTCTCAACTTTTTTGAGAGATCAATTTGGTCTCCCAACTCTTTAAAAATGAGTTTTTTGTTATACTAACTGTTGCGTCCTGAAAAATTCGTGGCGGTAGAGAAATATAAAATGTAATGTCATAGATTTGTACGAAGATCCAGAACACAAGCAAAAAAATGAGAGGGTGTAACGTTCATAAGAGACACCAGAGTTTTTACGTGGAAACCCCTGAAAGGGGGAAAAACCACGGGGCCTGACACAGTTTGAATGAATCCATTAGTGTTTGCAGTCTATTACAAATGAAGCCCTTCCTTAAGAGGAAGGTCTTGGCTCGATGCATGTGGCAACTATACATTATACATAGTATATTGCACAGTGGGAGTTGGAAGAATCAATGTTGACATGTTTATTTGGGGCGGAAAAATCATAGTCGGCGAGTGACATAGGTCAGAAGAACTGTAGTATGGTGACAAAGGTCGGAAGGATCGTAGTCAGCACGCGACGGGGGTCGCAAGGACCATTGTCAGCAGACGACGGAGGTCAGAAGGACTGTAGTCGGCGGGCAACACAGGTCGGGAGAATCGTAGTCGGCGAGCGACGAAGGTCGGGAGGATCGTAGTCGGCAGGCGACAGAGGTCCGAAGGATAGTAGTCGGCAGGCGACGCAGGTTGAGAGAGCCGTAGTCGGCGGGCGATGAAGGTCGGGAGGACCATAGTCGGTGGGCGACGAAGGTCGGGAGGACCATTGTAGTCGGCAGGGAGTGTACTCGGCAGGCGACGGAGGTCCAAAGGATCATAGTCGGCAGACGACAGAGGTCAGAAGGACCGTAGTAGGTGGGCAACGAAGGTCGGGAGGACTGTTGTAAGAGGACGGCGGGGACGGCGGAGGTCGAAAGGATTGTAGTTAGCATGCGACAGAGGTCAGGATGACTGTAATCAGATGACATTGATTGGGAGGAATGTAGTTGGCGGACTAGCAAAAATTTTGCGGTGTTCGGCGGATTGTCAGATGTTCGTCGGTGCCCGGAAAGAACTCTGGATGATGTCAAGAAGAATTCCAGTGATGATTGGCTGATGAACAGAAGTCCGACAATGATCGGCGGACTGGTGGAAG